ATCGTAATTTAACCTTTAAGATGGGTTGAGCATGATTACAAAATCCCCTATTTAACTACGTTATATTTAATTTGTTTGAATTATAGTTCTATTGATTTGTGTTAAAAATTTGTACATTTTACTTACAAAATTTAAATAACAATAATGGACATAATTTATATAGATATTGTTACGCTCATATCTAATAAAAGTTATGATGACTAGTGCTTGAAAAATCACTCTGTATAATGTGATGGACTTGTATTAATTATTTATTCGTAGTAAAAATGTATTCACTTTGGAAATTTTATGAATTCTAAACAAATGTTTTTTTGCAGTTATCAACCAGCTCCATTTTTCGTACTCGATGAAATAGACGCGGCCCTGGACAACACCAACATCGGGAAAGTCGCTTCTTACATTCTACAAAAAAAGACCAATTTGCAAACCATTGTTATATCGCTCAAAGAAGAATTCTTCCATCACGCCGACGCTCTAGTCGGTATCTGTCCAGATGTAAGTAGTTGTATATTATCATCTATTTTGGTGAAATTTCATATATATGCATATATGCGCAAATATTATGAAAAATGTTTGGCGTGGCGCACCGTGTTGTCGGGTCACTATGATAATATATTCAATCATTCAATAAGAGTACGTAACAGTGGTATTTGTTGTCTCCGTCTTACCAGTGCGTAATATAGCAAATTTACGCTCAGCAGAACACTTGTAGCTCTTTTAGTTTAAAAATTACAATGAATCGACCAATTATGAAAGTTGATGGTAAGAACATTATCTGTGTTTGCACGTTGGTTTTTTACGATAATTCAATATTCAAGTGAGTTATGAGCATATATTATACAGTACATTGAAATTCTCATAACTAACTTAAAAATTGAATTATCGTAAAAAACCAACGTACAAACACAGATAATGTTCTTACCATCAAGTTTCATAATTGGTCGATTCACTGTGTAATTTTTAAACTAAAGGAGCTACAAGTGTTCTGCTGAGCGTAAATTTGCTATATTAGCACTGGTAAGACGGAGACAACAAATACCACTGTTCCGTACTCTTAGGATTGCTTGAAGTATGTACAAATTATGCGAAAGACTACGAATAATTGAACGTTACCGTACATAACTGTTTATATTGTATTATAGGTTACCCTATTCCTATCAAAATAAGTTACACTTATGATTCTAATGTTTTTGTTTCATGTTGTAGGAAGGTCAGTGTTTGATCAGTAAAGTGATCATGATGGACCTTGCAGAGTATCCTTTGGCCGAAACTGATGAAAGTATTGCATTTTCTCTACGCTAAGCATTCCGGTTAAACATTGCGGACAATTCGAGGGAATAAATTCGGCATTCTACACCACTTGAATTTTATAAATTTTTAAATACACCTTAGGTTTACACTTTTTATTTTTAAAACTTTTGAACGATTTATGTAATCAGAAGACGTTGTATTACCTTCTAGTTTTTGTATATGTAATTTAAAAACTCACGCCAATGTATTCAATTTGGTTTTTACAATGAGAAATATATATTACGATTAACAAACGCAACACTTGTTCCTGTTTTGTATTCTGTTGTGTAAGTCCTTTGCTCTGAGTATAAATTTTGTACAACCATCTACGCTATACATTCGTGGGCGATTGTGCGTTGGAAATCCAGTGTGAATTTTGGGACACTTGATTACCGACATGATCTAGTGGTTCGTCATGGCGACTTTCTCTCTTCAAACATTTTACCAACGACTCTTTTCCAGGGACATCGTCCAATAATAGGACGAAAATTTAAAAGACTGTGTACTTAGAACGAACTACATAAATGTGCTTGTAAAGTCGTCAATACCATCAAAGACGAATAATGTTGAGCAACTTCCACTCGGTCCATCTCTCCGACTAGAAGTTTGAAAAATTCTTGTTCCCCGATAGATTCAAATAAGCAGCTTAATGTACGTGTTCATTTACATTGAATTCAGTCATATTTCTTGCATTTCCAAATGTCCATTTATCTGAAACAGTAAATAAAAAATGAAAACAGTCTATTTGGCCGAGTGCTGAATTCAAGTTACCATTCAATCTTTCTCACAGTTCTGCATATCTTTTTTGCGTCTCTTTGATGAGTTCGGTCATTTTCGTTTGATTCTTTGATAAATTCAACAAACACAAACAATATAAAACCACCGCTGTTTGCAATATCGGACATGCGTCAATTGTTCGCCGAAAATAGTTCGCGTGACTGTTGCTCGCGCGTCTGATGTTCGCCTGGAAATTATTCGAATACGAAAATTGTTCGTATGTTCACATAACATGAAATAAAAATAAATAAATAAATAATAATAATAATAATATACTAATGATACATAAAAAATAAAATACAATGTTAAATAATTTTTCCACGTTTGTGGATGTCAATGATATTAAGGTTATTGMAATTGAAAATTGTATGCAACACCACGAAGATAATCAACTGTTGTACGGTTATTATAATCTGCGCGTATTTTTTTTTTAAATTTAAAATGTTTTAGATTAATTCCTATGTCTCCACTCGAGCATTATCTGGTACATGATTATAATATGTTCATAACTTTTGACAACTTCGTCATTTTCCACATGRWTTCGACCACCACACTTATATTTTTTATACAATGGACATTTCCAATAGGTTTTTGTTTCCGTTTGTTTTTCGCAGTAGAGCACGTAACTTTTATTTACGAGTACCTATACCTATATATCTGTACCGCGATCACTTTTTACGTATTTTAAAACCACAGTAATCAGAGGCGTATTTAGGCACAGGCCCTATAGGCCCGGGCCTAGAGCGGCAACAT